GAAGTGAGACAAGCGAACATTTTGTTTGTTTTCGAACCGTGATAACTTTGGATGAGATCAACCGATCTTTGATTAGTTTTGAGATTGTGATTGCCCAGTTGATTGGCTATAACATATTTTTTTTTTACGTTTCTCCACCATTTCGGAATTATGACCTACAGGATGATATCTGAAAGTGTGATACTTTCCGAAAAGTTTGAGGTCGCCCCGTTAGCAGGATAATTTTTTTAAAATTTTTCTGACGGCAAAAACATGAAGCCTAATGTGTTTCCTCGAAATGGTTTCGGATTCATCAAGATCCATACAGGATGTTTTGAGATATGCAATTTTGAACAACATGATGGCTATTCGGATTTTTTGAATACCTTAAATTCATTGGTTAACCCCTCGGTATAATATGTTGTCTGGGAAATAATCAGAAATTGTCAAACATTTGATTATTGTTATACAATATGCCACGACTAACTAATGAACAATTACAAATGGTTCTTAGAATGAGAAATGGTGGTTTGAATGTTGAAGACATTGGACAGTATTTCGATACATCAAGAGCTTCAATATACAGGGCAATCCGTCGTCACGATCGAACAGGAGATCCTAATCATCGTCACGGAGGTGGACGACAACGGAAGACTTCAGATAGAAATGATAATTTCTTAGTTACTTCGGTACGTCGTCTTCGAACACAGACTGCTGGACAACTGAACTGTGCACTAAGAAATGCAACAGGAGTTGTTGTCTCAGATGAGACAATCAGAAGAAGGCTTCATGAGCGCAATCTGAGAGCGAGAAGGAGGGCATCTTGTACTTTGTTAAAGCTGAACCACAGGATAGCTCGAAGACTTTGGGCTCAGAACCATTTGAACTGGGGAATAGCTGATTGGAGGAGATGTTTATTCGTTGATGAGAGTAGGTGTAATATGTTCAGATCAGATGGAAGGATTTTAGTATGGCGAGAACGGGGTGAGAGGTTTCTGGAGGAAAACATGGAGGCGCGGGTGGCATTTGGGGGTGGGGGTGTTACGATATGGGGCGGTATCATGATGAATCATCGCACCACGTTGGTTATTTTGAGGGAAAGTATGAATGCTGTTCGATATCGTGACATGTGTTTATGAGATGTTGTTATACCAGTTGCTCAAAACTTTGGAGACAATTTCGTACTGGTCGATGTTAATGCACGACCACATCGTGCGAGAATTGTAACCAAAGTTCTGAGACAACATAATATTGAAAGAATGGAATGGCCACCCGTATCTCCAGACATGAACCCAATAGAACATGTATGGGCTAGGTTAAAATTATGTTTGAAGAGAAGGTGAAATGATGAATATTCAACAACTGGAAGATGCGATAGTGGAAGAATGGACAGCTATTCCCCAAGATTTCATTGATGGCTTGATGACAAGTATGCCGAGAAGAGTTAGGGCTCTCGCAGCGGCCAGGGGTGGTGTTACAAAATATTGGTAATCGACCACATCTGCCGTTGTTAATTTTTCTTTATTAAAAAAATATTGTGTTACGTATTATCTGTATTCTCTCTTGTATCCATCCATCCATCCATCCATCCATCCATCCATCCATCCATCCATCCATCCATCCATCCATCCATCCATCCATCCATCCATCCATCCATCCATCCATCCATCCATCCATCCATCCATCCATCCATCCATCCATCCATCCATCCATCCATCCATCCATCCATCCATCCATCCATCCATCCATCCATCCATCCATCCATCCATCCATCCATCCATCCATCCATCCATCCATCCATCCATCCATCCATCCATCCATCCATCCATCCATCCATCCATCCATCCATCCATCCATCCATCCATCCATCCATCCATCCATCCATCCATCCATCCATCCATCCATCCATCCATCCATCCATCCATCCATCCATCCATCCATCCATCCATCCATCCATCCATCCATCCATCCATCCATCCATCCATCCATCCATCCATCCATCCATCCATCCATCCATCCATCCATCCATCCATCCATCCATCCATCCATCCATCCATCCATCCATCCATCCATCCATCCATCCATCCATCCATCCATCCATCCATCCATCCATCCATCCATCCATCCATCCATCCATCCATCCATCCATCCATCCATCCATCCATCCATCCATCCATCCATCCATCCATCCATCCATCCATCCATCCATCCATCCATCCATCCATCCATCCATCCATCCATCCATCCATCCATCCATCCATCCATCCATCCATCCATCCATCCATCCATCCATCCATCCATCCATCCATCCATCCATCCATCCATCCATCCATCCATCCATCCATCCATCCATCCATCCATCCATCCATCCATCCATCCATCCATCCATCCATCCATCCATCCATCCATCCATCCATCCATCCATCCATCCATCCATCCATCCATCCATCCATCCATCCATCCATCCATCCATCCATCCATCCATCCATCCATCCATCCATCCATCCATCCATCCATCCATCCATCCATCCATCCATCCATCCATCCATCCATCCATCCATCCATCCATCCATCCATCCATCCATCCATCCATCCATCCATCCATCCATCCATCCATCCATCCATCCATCCATCCATCCATCCATCCATCCATCCATCCATCCATCCATCCATCCATCCATCCATCCATCCATCCATCCATCCATCCATCCATCCATCCATCCATCCATCCATCCATCCATCCATCCATCCATCCATCCATCCATCCATCCATCCATCCATCCATCCATCCATCCATCCATCCATCCATCCATCCATCCATCCATCCATCCATCCATCCATCCATCCATCCATCCATCCATCCATCCATCCATCCATCCATCCATCCATCCATCCATCCATCCATCCATCCATCCATCCATCCATCCATCCATCCATCCATCCATCCATCCATCCATCCATCCATCCATCCATCCATCCATCCATCCATCCATCCATCCATCCATCCATCCATCCATCCATCCATCCATCCATCCATCCATCCATCCATCCATCCATCCATCCATCCATCCATCCATCCATCCATCCATCCATCCATCCATCCATCCATCCATCCATCCATCCATCCATCCATCCATCCATCCATCCATCCATCCATCCATCCATCCATCCATCCATCCATCCATCCATCCATCCATCCATCCATCCATCCATCCATCCATCCATCCATCCATCCATCCATCCATCCATCCATCCATCCATCCATCCATCCATCCATCCATCCATCCATCCATCCATCCATCCATCCATCCATCCATCCATCCATCCATCCATCCATCCATCCATCCATCCATCCATCCATCCATCCATCCATCCATCCATCCATCCATCCATCCATCCATCCATCCATCCATCCATCCATCCATCCATCCATCCATCCATCCATCCATCCATCCATCCATCCATCCATCCATCCATCCATCCATCCATCCATCCATCCATCCATCCATCCATCCATCCATCCATCCATCCATCCATCCATCCATCCATCCATCCATCCATCCATCCATCCATCCATCCATCCATCCATCCATCCATCCATCCATCCATCCATCCATCCATCCATCCATCCATCCATCCATCCATCCATCCATCCATCCATCCATCCATCCATCCATCCATCCATCCATCCATCCATCCATCCATCCATCCATCCATCCATCCATCCATCCATCCATCCATCCATGTTGTTAGTGCATCCATGCCCTCCGTCCATCCATTCATCTCGGCAATACATCCTATTCGTCCATTCATCCATCCGGTCCATATCATCCATCTCGTTCATCCATTAATTTCGTCCTTCCATCCATCGCGTCCATCCCATCCATCTCGTCCCACTTGGCCATCCCTTCCATCCTGTTCATTCCGTCCATATCGTCCATCTCATCCATCCCGTCTATTTCGTCCATCCTGTTCATCTTGCCTATCCCGTATATGTCATCCATCCCATTCATCTCGTCGTCCATTTAGTCCATTCCGTTCATTTCGTCCATCTCGTCCACCCAGTCTATCTCGTCCATCCCGTCGGTCTCGTTCATCCCGTATACCCTGTCCATCTCGTATTTCCCGTCCACCCCGTTAATCTCGTCCACTACGTATACCCTGTTCATTCCGTCCATCTCGTTCACCCATCCACCTCGCCCAACTTTTTCGTCCCGTTTATCCTATCCATCTCGTCCATCCCGTCCACATCGTCTAACCCGTCCATATTGTCCATTCCGTCCATCTCTTCCATTCCGTCTATCTCTTCCATCTCTTCTATCCCATCCATTTCCTTCATTCCGTCTATCTCGTCTATCCTGTTCCATCTCGTGTATCTTGTCCATTCCGTCTATCCCGTCCATCATATCAATTCTGTCCATCCAGTCCATCCCGTCCATCTCGTCTATCCTGTTTATCTGGATCATTTCGTCAATCATGACCATCCCGTCAATTTCGTCCATCTCGTCCATCACGTCCATCCCGTCTATCCCTTCCATTTCATCTATCCTGTGCATACCGTCCATTCAGTTCATCCCGTCCATTCCGTTCATCCCGTCCATTCCGTTCATTCCGTCCATCCTGTCTGTTCCATTCATTCCGTTCACCCTGTCCATCCCGTCCATCCCGTATATCTACACCTCGTCCCATCTCGTCCATCCCGTCCGTCCCGTTCATTCCGTCTCGTCCGTCCCGTTGATCCCATCCATTTCATCGATCCATTCATCCATCCATCCATTCATCTATCCATCCATCAATCCATCATTGATTCGACAAATAGCGGGTGATCAAATATTCCCCTCTTGTTAGAATTCCACAGAGATTAGACAAATCAGTCATGTCCTCATTTGAATGAGGCCTTAGTCGTTGTCGTCTTTTTTGAAGCTATAGTCCACGCTGTTGTTGACTTTTTCTTCGACACTTTTGTTGTCCTCATCGTCGACTTCAATAAAACTATAAATAGAGTGTTCAGAATATTTATATTAAAATGTTTCATTTCTATTCATCGAACTACAAGGAACTTTTAGGGGACGACCAGCAAACGTGTTATTTCCTTTTGAATTGCCAATTGTGAAAGCGAAAGAGTTATTCAAGGAATTCAAACCAGCAGCTCTTCGCAGATCATGGAAACCAGGGGGCTGATGAAAGGAGAGTGATACGTTGATTGATGAGTTATCAGGAGTGCTCATGGAGGGTGGTTCGAACGAGTCAGCTCTTGAGGTTTCCTTCAGGATGTCATCTACTAATTCTACACTCACTCCTCCTGGTGCATCTATCATTAAGGCTTTCGACTCAGCTGGTAAGTTGTTTACACGGCCATAAGACCACGAGCTCATATGCATAATTCTAGGAGATTGTTCATCGTCATTAGTGCACACATTTCTTGGAGAAGAACCACATTGATCTAAAGAAGCACCAAGTGGTGAGGTGCCTCTATTTTTCGCAGTAGGTTGAGGATAAGTTTGTGAAAATCTTGGAGGACTTTCATATGGTAAATAGTGTGAATCCTCAAATTCAGCATTGATCGGGATGCCGAATGGTGCAGCACTGTAGTTTTGGTAGGTATCAGATGAATCAGCGTGATAATTTTGATATTCATCGGGTGATTCAGTTGCCTGACCAGGCAGAGGAGCGTTAATAGATCTACCCAACTGAGGAACTACCCTTTGGATAGCACCTGCTCCCGGAAAGGATTGCGTCTGACTAGGAGGACACTGATATGGTAGGTTTGGACCACCAAATCTAGTATCAATCGGAACTCCGAATGGTGCTGCACTGTAATTCGCACGATTATAATATGATGCAGATGCTGGAGCAGGTGCTGCTCTTCTCTCTATAGATCCAGCCAACTGTGGAATACCCCTTGGGCCATCGCATGCTCCTGGGAAGGTTTTCATATGACTTGGTGGAGATTCATATGGTAGATTGCGATCATCAAATCTAGTATCTATAGGTATTCCGAATGGTGCATCACTGTAATTCTGATGAACCATAGATGATTCAGATTCCTGAACTGGAAGAGGTGCATCGACTGATCGACCTAGCTGAGGTCTTCTTCTTCCAATAGATGAAGCTAACTGGGGAATACCCCTCTGTCTACCGCATGCTCCTGGAAAGGTTTTTGTATGACTTGGTGGAGATTCATAGGGCAGATAGCAATCATCAAAGCTGGTATCAATTGGTATTCCGAATGGCGCGTCACTGTAATTTTGCTGAACAATAGATGATGCAGGTGTCTGAACAGAAAGAGGTGCATTGACTGATCGACCTAGCTGAGTACCCCTTCTCTCAATGGATGCAGCTAACTGAGGAATACCTCTTTGTCTGCCGCATGCTCCTGGGAAGGTTTTTGTATGACTTGGTGGGGATTCATAAGGTAAATATTTATCATCAAATCTAGTACCGATAGGTATTCCGAATGGTGCGTCCCAATAATTTTGCTGAACAATAGATGATTCAGGGGCCTGGGCAGATAGAGGTGCATTTGCTGATCTACCTAGCTGAGGACTTATGTTGTGTCTACCTCTCTCTCCTGGAAATGATTGCGCCTGACTTGGAGGCGGATGATAAGATACGCTGGGTTTATTGAATGTCGCATTCGCTCCACTAACAAGTCCGTTTCCTCGTGTTGATTTTGCACTAGATTGATTGGAGGTTTCACATGTTGAATCAAGCAGTCTGTCAGAACAAGTTATGGCATTGGATCTTCTTCCTTCCCCTCCAGATTCTCTTATGGGAAACCTTCCAGCGTGTGAGCCTCCATCCTGTGGTGATTTTCTGGGTCTAGATTTCCGCATAGGCGGATAAGTTTGACAGCGACTTGGTAATGTGGAATCGAACGAACTTTCAACTCCTGCCAAGTCTGGTGTGAAAAAATCTTGTGAATCCATAGTACTTGGAAATGAAGTATCAGTCAAATATTGTTGTTCATTATTTTGAGCTGGAGTACTGAAGTATCTAGGCCTGAATCCTTGGCCACAACGATATTCAGGTAATTTTGGAATACGCCTCTCTGGAGAAGGTGACATTCTTTTTATCACATTATATTTGCCATCCATGATGTTTTTGAACATATTCGCTTCTTTTTCATCCATTTCTGCAGAAGAGTCATACAAACTCGATAAACTGAAATTTTGATCCGGTACTCCTATCGGAGCATCACTATAATTGGCACAGGCAACAGACGAATCCGGATATTTTCGGTCGAAAGTTCTGTTGGGCCTATCAACCGTTGCATTGTTGGGTTGAACATCTGTTGGATTGGGTCGAATGAATGATGAATTGGTCTTTGCAAATGTCTTGTTGGGTTGACAAGAGGTTGCATTGGGTCTATCGAATGTCGCATTTCCTCTACTGAACATTACGTTATTTTGATCGAATTTCGCACTAGATTTATGGAATGTACCATTTATTTGACGCTCATCAGTTAACCTTTCGTGCGTGGCATTCACTTTATCAAATGTTTGATTTGGTACTTGTCTTTCTGCTTCCCCATATTCTTTGATGGGAAACCTCCCATCATGTGAACCTCCATCCTGTGGGGATTTTCTGGATTTAGGTTTCCGCCCAGGAGGATAAGTTTGACATCCACTTGGTAATGTTGAATCAAAGGAACTTTTCACCCCTGCCAAATCTGGTGTATACCAATCTTGTGAATCCATAGTACTAGGAATGGAAGTATCATTCATGAATACTTGTTCGGTATTTTGGGCTGGAGTACTCGAGTACGTTGGTCTGAATCCTTGACCGCCACGATATTCAAGCAATTTTGGTATACGCCTTTCTGGAGATGGCGACATTCTTTTTATCACATTATATTTACCATCCATGATATTTTTGAACATATTTGCTTCCTTTTCATCCATTTCTGCGGAAGAGTCGTACAAACTCGATAAACTGAAATCATGATCTGTCTGATGAGGAACCAGCGAATGAGTTTTATCCTGTTGTCTGGATTTTGATAGACACTCTTTTGGAGATCCTACTAGATGTTTAATACCAGCTTTTCTGTCACCGTCTGAGAGTTCATCATTCCAAATTGGAAGAGATTTTGCTGACACGCCTCTTCCATCCTGTCTAGGTATCACCAATAAAGGCGCAGTACTAGTTTGGTTTCGAGGAATATTGATGACATTCACTTGGTCAGGACTCAGTACGCCTTTGGGAATGATGATTGTTCTAGTGGCATTTTGATCTACTCGATTGGAATCTGCCATCAATATATAACTCACAAGAATTTCTGTTGATTTTCATACAAATTCGATGACGTTAATTGCCAGTCATGTCTTGAAATTTCCAAAATATGTCATGTCAGAAAGAATTGTATATCGAGTGATAATCAAAACTGTGCAATTTTTCAAGAATTCCTTAGGCCTGCTCATTGAATGAAACATTTTTCTGCTTCTTTCTGAGCTGACATTTCTGGAATCGGCACTCATCTCTGAATATCTTCAGAAGATAATGCATGATTATATAAAGCATCTAATCATGCATTATTTTTTGGAAATATTGCATGTTTGCTTCATGTTCTTTCCATTTCTATTGGATAATCTTGAAATAATGCATGATCAACATAATAAAAAGTGATATAGGGTGATCCTATAGCGTTGAAAGTTGCTACGAGAACTTGTAGCGTTTAAATTTGCTGAGTATAGATTTTTGATTTTGTTTTCATGAAATCCTGAGTGAACATTCAAATAATATAATCATCAAGAGAGCACATACTTACAGAGAGAGCACTAAGTTGAAAGATCAAATGAACATCTCCCACAAGATGAAACATTTATTGATAGATAAAACACTCATACACAGTTTTCTAATATCATTTCAACAGATATCACGATTCTTCAGACGTTCAGTTCATCTGTAGGGAGTGATGAAAGACTCGAGCTGTGCTGATCCAAGTAAACAGGTTCCGAAAATGAAGGAAGTGAGTTAGTATTCTGTATATTCATTTGAGTCCTATGCTTGCCTGATTCAATGATTGTTGCTAATGGAAAGCTGTTGACTTACCTGTAGTGTTCTCCAGCGGTAATGATGTGAACAATTGATTGTTTATTTTTAGGATTATTTGGGTATATTTCTTTGAATAATTTGTAGTCTTTCTGATATGTTGATTTAATTGGTTGGAGTGATAGGTTATGTATTCCTTTCGCACGTCAGCGCCAACACTGTCACTTACTGTAATGAAGTGGTATTAATTATTATTAAGCCTGTATATATTGACAAGTGATTGTAATTGATGATAGGTGACGTGGTTACTAATTATATTTTATTTACCATTACTTGTAAGTTCTGTTTAATAAATAAATTGTGAAATTTTGATCTCCGATTCTCAATCTGTGACTTCACCTTCTACAAACCTACTTGGGTCATTTCATTTGGCGACGAGGACGTAAAAACGACTGGTTTATTGAATAGCATTATGGCGGCCATTGGATTCATCAAGGAATTCAATCCAAGTCAAGACAATTGGATGCTCTACCAGGAGCAGTTGGAAATGTTCTTCAATATCAATAAGATAACAGATAGTGAGACGGATAATCGAAGAGTAGCATCTTTACTCAGTTCAGTCGGATCGACCACTTACAAGGTATTGAGAGATCAATGTACACCATTTCTACCAAAAGATAAAACATATGATGAAATATGTAAATTGCTGAAGACGGATTGAATATTTTGAGGCGAAACAGGAAGAAACTGAAAGTATCAGTACTTGGTGTGCCAGAATTCATAACTCAGCTGCCAATTGTGAATTTGGTTCCAATCTCCAATCGTATCTCAACGGTAAATTCATTTGCTCAATGAGAAGAGGACCGGTCAGGGATCGACTTTGTGAAGAAAAGTTGGACGCGAATTTGGAAAGAATCCTGGATTTGGCTTTGACAAAGGAATCTTCGTTGACTAGTGGAATTGTGACAACAACTGTCAACGTTTTTAAGCCCAATCAAAATACGAAGCGAAATTTTGTCAAAGAAAATCAAAAACATCTTCAGCAGAGAGAAAATGTCAACAAAGGCCGTTGGAAGTGTAAGGCTTATGGTAATTTTCATACTGGAAGACAGAATTGTAAGTACGCGACTTACACATGTAGTGCCTGCCAGAAAGTTGGTCATCTTTCCAAAGTATGTTGGAAAAAGCAGAATTCATTGGAAGTTGAAGAAGACGAAGTAGATATTTTTAGTATTAGGTTTGATAATTGTAATCCGATCAACTTGAATATTTTCGCTAATAATATCAATATCCCAATGCAATTAGATAGTGGTGCTGGCGTATCAGTTATCTCAGAACATTACTACCGGAAATATTTTTCTAGTAGTAAATTACAAAACAGTAGACTCAAATTGAAAAGTTTTTCAGGCTGCGTGATAAAACCACTCGGATTTATCGAGGTTGACTTGAAATATGAAGGAACAACTTGTGCAAATTTCATTTTGCATGTGGTTAGTAATGAAACCAACAGTCAAAATCTGTTAGGCAGAGATTTTCTTTCGAAATTCAATTTTGGTTTGACTTCTGAAATACTGAGTGTTGAGAATAAGTTTCCAAGTATCTTAGATGAGTATAAGAAATTATTCGACAATAGTTTGGGTTGCTACAAGTATCAAAAATTTCATTTAGAATTGAAAAACAACGGCAAACCTATTTTCAAAAAAGCTAGGCCCGTACCAATATCATTCAGAGAAAAAGTTGATATAGAGCTTGAGAGATTAGAGAATGATGGAGTCATTAGTTCAGTGGATTCTAGCGACTGGGCAACACCGATAGTCATTGACCTAAAACCAGATGGTAGTTTACGCATTTGCGGTGATTACAAAATTACTGCTAACAAACATCTAGTTGACGTGAAATATCCTTTACCACGGGTTGATGATATATTTTCTCAACTCAATGGTGGTGAATCATTTTCAGAATTAGATCTGAGTAATGCGTACAACCAACTTGTTCTAGATGACGAATCTTCGAAAATTGTTGCATGGAATACCCACAAAGGTTTATTTCGTTTGAACAGGGTTCCATTTGGAATAACACACGCTAGTGCAATTTTTCAGCGAACCATTGAAACTCTTTCAAGTGGTATACCAGGTGTAGCGAATTTTCTGGATGATATAATAGTTACCGAAACATCAAGAGTCAATCACGAGGAAAATCTCAGAAAAGTTTTCACTAAACTTCGGGATGCCGGCCTTAGAATTAAGTTGCCTAAGTGTTCGTTTTTCAAGAAAGAAGTGAATTATCTTGAACGTACTATTTTTAAGGAGGGCCTTAAGAAGAATACAGATAAAGTGAAAGCTATTCTGAATGCACCTAAACCTCGAGACAAAACTCAAGTACAAAGTTTTGCGGGATTGGACAACTATTATCGAAGGTTTGTTCCACATTTATCCACTATAATGAAACCCATTTATGATTTATTGAAGAAAAATGTTCAGTTTACATGGAATGAAAAGTGTAATGAAGCTTTTGAACGAATCAAAAAGATAATTGCTTCTGATGATATATTAATGCATTTTAACCCTAATCTTTCTGTTGTACTATCAACAGATGCTTCACAAGAAGGAATATCCGCATGTTTATCTCATCAATTACCGAATGGGAATTTGAGACCTGTAGGATTTGTTTCGGGAACCTTAATGCAGGCTGAAAAGAATTATTCAGTAATTGATAGAGTCCTTAGCGATATACTGGGGGGTTAAAAAATTTTCACGATACTTATTGGGAATAAAATTTCTCATTCAATCAGATCATAAAGCACTGGTATACATTTTTGGTGAAAGTAAAGGTTTACCTCAAATGGCTGCAAGTAGGCTGCAACGATGGGCTGTTTATTTATCTGGATTTTCTTATAAAATAGTTTATATCAAAGAGTCAGATAATCAAGTTGCAGATATGCTATCCAGGCATCCTTTAGAAATGAAATATTTATCGGATGATTATAGTGAAAACTCAACTTATTTGAATTTAATCATATCGGAGGGCTTACCAGTTGATTATCATAAAGTTGGAATAGAAACTAGACGCGATCCAATCTTATCCCAAGTATATTCATTTGTTATGAATGGTTGGCCAGAAATAGTCACGAATCAGGAGTTGATACCATTTTTTAGACGAAAATTAGAATTGACTTCTGAACAGAACTGTGTTATGTGGGGTTATCGAGTAGTTATTCCTTAAAAATTGCAAAATCAGCTTCTCTTGGAGTTACATAATAGCCATTTAGGAATAATAAAAGTGAAATCAATAGCACGATCCTACTTTTGGTGGCCTAATTTGGATGAACAAATCAAAAACTTAGGTAAAGTATGTCGTTCTTGTTTATTAACATCTAACGATCCTCCAAAAGCACCGTTGTGTCCGTCGAGAAGATCAAGTAGGACATGGCAAAGAATCCATATAGATTTCCTTGGACCAGTTAATAACCGAAATTATTTAATAATTCTTGATGCATTCAGTAAATGGCCAGAAATTTTTGAAATGAGAAATATCACATCAGAGAATACGATAAAGAAACTGAGAGAGACTTTTACTCGTTGGGGAATTCCTGAAGTGTTGGTTTCTGACAATGGTCCTCAACTGACTTTCGATTCTTTCAAAAAGTTTTTAACAAAAAACGGTATTCAGCATAAAACAATCTCACCCTATCATCCATCAACTAATGGAGCGGCTGAAAATGCTGTAAAGTCTTTTAAAAAAAGTTTGAAATCATCTACTGATGTCCTTGTTAGTAGGTATTTATTCAATTATCGGAATTCTGTTCATTGTACAACTTATGAAACGCCAGCGAGGTTAATAATAGGTAGAAATTTGAGATCTGTTTTTGATTTGATCAAACCCTGTAGGGAAGAAATCAGCATAGGGAAAATAGAAAAACAACAGGTTAATCACAAGTCAAAAAAGAGAGAGGAACTCAAAGAGGGAGACGAGGTTGTAGTGAGAGATTATAGAGGAAATAATAAAAAAAATTGGATTGATGCTAAGATAGTCAAGAAGATTGATAGTAGGAATTACTTATGCAAATTAAATGACGATACAGAGTGGCGAAGACATATTGATCAAATTGAGATGAAAGTATTTGATGAAATATCAGAAAATGACGATAACTCTGGGATAGCGGTATCTCTACCAAGATCTAAATATGCGCATTTGATTGATAATCCAAACACAATCGATAATACCAACGACAATGTCGATAATACTGATATAACTAACGCAGATGACATTATGAATACCGAAAATGAACAATCTACACCAACAAATATTTCCGGTAGTAATGATCAAATGATACGAACTGATGAA